TTACTTTACAACCAGCTGATTTGGAATGCCCAAGCTATTACGCAACAAGAAACCATTCCTGGAATATATATAGCAAACTAGAAAAAACAAGAGCGATGTCCCTTGAATAGCAATGTGGCTTGCGTAGTCGTCGCTTCATTGTAAATAGAAAAAACTCGACTTGGTATAATTTTTAAGCGAATTCGCGATACTACTGGAACGTTCTTATTACAGCTACCTTCGAGAATTAATGTATTATAATGCTTTCTGGGAATACTAACGCACTAACACAAAGCCGGTTTTACCTTTACGTATATTGACCGGTGACGTCAATATAATAGAACGACTGTTTCCGGTGTTACGGAAACGAAAAAAAGATTTTTTTTTGTATTATATTACAGCCCACAGCTGGGCTCGAACATTCTCTATCCGGAGACTGGTATTTATATCCACATCTGTTTATGGAACAAATATTTTTGTTCGTAGAGCTCTCCCGATTTACGATCGTTTACTTCTTCGTTCTATTTCATCAGATAGTAAATAAACGTTACTGTAACGTAAGTAACAATTTAAAAAAAAACTGCCGTGGGAATTGAACCGGTTGTTAAGTAGGTATCAAATGTTCAACCCACTCAATTTTGACTTAAAACAGATCTTTAAAATACTTTTTATTCATAAACATTATCTTTTTTTCTTGACCTTCGAACAAACGACGCCGGCAGCGGGGAACGAACTCTGACGGAATAAGTTGTGCGGTCACCCGGACACTGGATTCCGGTATAGAAACGCAATAGTATTCGTGGGAAAGAGCATAGAGAGGAACGAGTTGAGCAATGTGACGCCATGTCGAGTATCGAAGCCTCGCTCGCAGGGATAGAGCTTAGTACCGTTAGGTGCGGCCGGCGGGTAGCGGCGAAGTAGATAACACGTGCGCCGCCGCGCCGGTTCGCGACTTTCGACCAAGCATTGCGGGCCACGGTTATCGTAGCAATCGCGAGATACGCCTGCTAACGTGACACCGGCTACGTATGTTACGTAATCTTACCAAATATATAAAATTATACCATTTAAGGTCAAGTTTGCATGCTAATTTTTACCGATGCGAAAATATTCTAAAATAAGCGCTTACTGAAAGATTTTATTCGATGTATGTATAATTTTGGACACGGGCGACGAGTTAGATTTAGGCAAATTTTTTATGTGATAAGGAGGTTTTTATTATTCACGGTCCGTGTGACGGGAGGAATGGGTTTTCCAGTATCGTGATGGTTAATTATAAATTTCATTGTAGGTAATCATCGCCTCATTAAATTTCCAAGCGTATCGCCGACCGCTGACCACTACCGGCACGCTACGACGCGACGACTCAAGGCGGACAGACAAAAGTGCGCGAAACTGCTCGCGTATGACTCACAGATTTTCCTCCGTCCATACGTAACCATTATGACAGCATTGTATAGTTTACGGCGTGAGTAGTCAGTCTCAGCCGTCATGTCGCAAATCACGAGATTATACGCTAAAACTAATTCGAGATAAGTTCTTTTGGAGACGACAGCTTTTCATTCCAAACACGCATTAAGAAAGCTCGCTCTTAAATATTTAACATACTTAAACATTATTTTGAATAATCTAATAACACAGTAAAATTCCTAAGTAAATTTAAATAATACTAAATAAAGATGTAGTAGAGTAGAGCATTGTACATTCCTTAAAGTTCCGTTAGATTACTCCGCATAGCTATAGGTACTTACACATACAAATGTCGGCACAACAATGCACCAGTGGTAGTGGGCTCGCGCTCGAACCAAGGTGCATGCAGGCAGACAGGCAGACATAGGCGAAGGCGAAGGGAGCGGCGCAGTGTGCGGCATCGCGTGCACCGCCTTCGCCGCCACCACACTCCACCGACCTACATTTTATGCGACTGCGAGTTCATTATTTACTAGCACTAACCGAGCACGCACCAATCGCCCTTCCAGCTTCGCTGCACTCCGTCGCTAATTGTGCCTTAATCTCTTCCATGATCCGGACGGTAACAGACGTTTTGAAGGCTGCCTACCTGCGAAAATACACTACAAAAAACTGCACAAACCGTGCACACGAGCAAAAACGCGACCTCCCGACGGGACCAGCCCCGGAGCCATCGTCGTAGGTGTCTACATTTTGGAAAACAAAACAAAATAGAAGGAGACGCGTGCGAAAGCGACGCAGGGATACAGGCGGCAGGTTCGATAGAGAGAGAGGCGGCTCGAAAGCCGACGTAAACAAACCGCGATCGGGAGCTTCGACCGCACTCACCATTTCGGGGATCCTCGGATCCGCGATGCGTTGATGGGCCCTCGGCGACACACGTAGTGGAGAGCGGGCGCGTCGTCGGCGGAAACACAGATCTAAAGCACCGATCACACGAGATGGTTCAGAGCACGCACTCGACACATATGAATACGACACGTCCCGTCCTACACTACGTTCGCGGCCCACGCCGATGCAGTTTACGTCACCGCATCCCGCTCCCGACTGACGGTACGCGGCGCGAGCGAGCGACGACCTCGCGCTGCAGCGTGCACCGCCCCGCGCTCCGCGCCCTACCGGTCCCCGCCCGCGTCCCGCGCCGGCCCTAACACCCGTCCCGCCCCACCCCGCTTCTCTCCGCGCCCAGAACCGCGCTCGTCCTACGTCCGGTGAATCACGAACACGAATTATACTACCAATACCAACACAACTAAAATCAACAAAACGATATAAAATACAACAACTCCGCATTTTTAATTATAAATAAATTTATTTAGGTCATAGCTTACATCTAGCCCAAATATCAATATGAAATGGAACGCAGTTTGATTTTCTTTGCACTATAAAGATTTTAAGAAAAATTATTTATCAAAACACAGAGGTTTTAACTAATACACATAGTCTGGAAAATAGCAGCGTTAAATTTGAAATAGATACAGATTGTTATAGGTACAGATAAATGAAAATATACAAGAGGCCAAAGCCAACGCCTGATGTAAACTTCATAGCATTCCGTTACGTAGCACGAACTAGAAGAGTGTGGGAAAATTTTATATCACATATCATTGAAATTATAGGTATTTTCATTTGAACTTAATTATATCAACATATAAGCAAATATATAGTCAATAATAAAAACACTGGGTATCTCCAGTTCCACGATTGTTTGCTTTTTTTAATCCGTTAAATGTTATTGTCAAAGTCATATGTTGTATTTTTATTAAAACACCTTAATAATTGTATCCCTTACGTCATTCAATGTTGGACAGTTGTCAATTTATATGAGAAGCCGAGGAATGTATCCTTTTGCTTGAGTTGTTAGTCAAAAAGTTTTTTTTACGGATTTACAATTATCTTTTTTTAATTATGCTTAATTATCATATTATTTTACAACCAGAAATAAATTTAAACGTCTAAAGGAGGTACTCATCAGTGATGCATGTCATTCAAATTAATTTAATACTAAATTTTATCGCGGCGTGTTTTTTTAATAATTCAAATCAGAACACTTAATATAGAACAAAACGAGTTTCAAGAATACAAATGTGAACCACGAAGATTTATTTTTCATATTTTTATAATACGGCGGCCCTCTTGTGCTTATGTTACCTACTTGCTGATTTCAGAACGTTACAAATGCTTTGTCAGCGTTTATCTGGAAAACGGATCACGTTGCACCACGTTACAGGAAAAGAAATCGAAAATCCTCTTTCTGTGCGTCCTCTCCTCTGTCGATTTAAGGTTGGCAATGCAATTGCAAGTAAGGATTTCTGTTAGCAGCGGTTACTTCACTGTAGGCGAATACTGGTGGCCACTCGCTCATTTGCAACTTTATACCATAAAAAAAACCACTGATAAAACCTTAAGAAGATGACAAGGCTATACGACACTTTTCGTATTACGAAAACAAAATTAGTTATGACTCCACAGCGATATTCTGCGACTTTCCTTATTGAGTCGGGCCATATAATTAGCTTTTAATGGATGAGAAGACGCATAGAAAGGAAATATATTATCTTTCTGTGTGTCCCCTTTTCCATCGAATAAAGGAAGGAAAAACATCTGCAATTTCGGATGTCTACTTGCAGTGACCGTTTCACTATTTCAGCGAATTCAGTGGACGTTTGTCAACTTATTTGCTTAAACAAAAGTCTGTAAAAATATTTTTTATAATATTTATAATTGTAATCAGTTAGATTATGCTTATAAAAGTTAAATACATGTAAAAAAGCTACTGAATCTATGAATATTTTGACACAAAGTTTAAATGTATCCTGGTTATTAAGTATAATTTTGCTAATGTACCAGAAATCAATACAATTCTTCACTTTTCCTTTCTATCTTATGACATCTGTCTTGCACTTAAATTTCACTCTCAATGAGCCCACTATACATCCCCACAGAGGGGCTCGGAGCATATCCTAAATTAGGAGTGACTAGACCATGGTCAACGACGCGGGCCCATTGCGGGTTGATTGACTTCACATATATCTTTGTATTTATATATTTGTTTTAATATATGCAGGTTGCATCAGGATGATTTTCAACACCGTAAGAACGTGGGATAAATGTACATATGTAAATCGAAAAACATATTGATACATGGCGGAATTCGAACCCAGGACCTGCAGATTACAAGACAAGTGCTTAACCCCTGAGCCACTGATGCTCTTGTTGTCTCAAGTTTACCACTAAAAATCTTTGTGACATAAAATGTGATAAGGACAATTAAAACATAGGCAATTTATTGAAAATTGATACATTACACATTAATTTAACTGTTTATTTTGAATTGGCACCATACACTGACATGCTAAACAAAATACATGCATAAAACTGTATTTACCTTCTATACATAACCTGCAAGCAATCTCATGAGTGTGACTATGTATACTTATGTGTGCTATGAACATGTTTATGCATTTTGGTTATCCCCTCGAAGATAATGTAGGTAATCCATCATGCAAACATAAGATGTGTTACTTGCTTTATAATGTTGAAAAACTCACCATTCAAAGGCATTGTAGTGGTAGTAACAGAGTCCTAATCCATACAGAAACAAAGGGTCCTTCCAGTTGTCTGGCTCCAAAGCGTAGAACTTTTGATATGCTGACATTGCTGGAAAAACAAAAATATTTTTAAGTGTACACAAATTAATATGTCTCTAAACTAAATATTGAAAAAACACTAGATATTTTTTTAAAGTTTAAAAAGGAAGGTAAAAATCCAATTAAATACAGCTAATAGGTATAGGAAAAAAAATGGGACCAAAATGCAACACTTTTCATTATGTAATTTTTTTGGGATTTCTCAATTATGGATTAGAAGCTACTATATTACCATAAAGAAAAAAATAAATACATGGAATTATTCTTTAACAAGTATAGTAGTTACCTTTTGCATAGTCTTCTAATAATAAATGGAAATGTCCCAATTTACAGTATGTTTTTGGATCAATGCAGATGTCTCTTCTTGCACCCGGTGAACAAGCTCTTTCCTCTTCCTAGCAAACAGTTATAATAAATTTTATTTATACTAAAGTTCATAGAAATGGTACTCAATTAGAATTAAGAGTTTGGTAGACTAATGTAGTCTAAATTATTTTTATATTATATTATTTTATGAATAATAATGATTGTTGAATACATTGAGTAAATGTTGACAACAATGAATGTACCACAGAGTTAAAATAACAAATTGTAAATTCCAAAACATATTTAAAAAATTAATGGAATCTTGTACTGTTAGTAAAGAGAACAAACTGTTTATACCTTAACTTGTACCAACATGCCTTCCAGATATTTGACTGCCTTGAGAACCAAAGCCCGTGTTCTGACATGCTCACTACCACGCAGCTTCAGAAATCCAAATTGTCGACTTGAAATAAAATAAAATAAATTTATTAACAACATTATAAGGAAAGTATAAAGTACTCTAATGAGTAATAATACTTCAGTTTGGTAACAAACTATATGAGATAGCAGAAACTAACAAAAGGTTAGATAATTTGAGTAGAAGGTAAATTATGTATAAAATTAACAAAATAGATACATTGCCAAAAGTTGAATCTGATGTAAATCTATGGAACATTGGCTATAACACTTTTCAAATGTGAATAATTTTGCTTAGGCTGTTCATGTTGTATGATCATAGGTCCATAACTATGTCACAGACATTCTGTTTTATAACTTTATCACAAAAATCTTTAGTAAAATAACTGATAAAATGTAAACATTCTACAATGGTCGAAATTGTGCATGCTATCATTAACTACGAAAAAAATGCCTTTACATTTTATTTTTGACAAGTTTACATGTACAAAGTACGAAAAATTCTGAGCTATCATTAGTAACTAAAATAAAAATTCAGTGTATACGATAAATGATAATTATATAAAAGAGGGGAATTTAGGATAAAATATAATATTATTGTTATTAGAAATGATTATTTACCTGTCAAGTTCTGATAAAACTTGAAGTTCTTGAGAGGTTAGATGCAACTCTTCTTTTTCATCCATTATGTACAATATTTATAGACAACAAGTTTATTATTAACACTTAATTCTTAGACATACTACGCAAAAATATAACTTATAATAACAATTTTTATTTGCCACCGAAACGACCGAAAACAGCATCACATCATTGCACAGATTATCAAAATTCTGTCAAATCAGAACTTAATGAAATGTCAGAATAAAACCGTGTTGCCAGTTGTCGTTACTAATTACTAAATAGTTTCATAGATTTATAATGTCAATCAATAAATACAGTTTAAACTGCATAAAAATAGACATAATAAATAACACTCATTTAAATAAGGAATATGAAGACTGTAAAGAAGACAAACGTTGGTATCGGAATTGTATCGTTTTATTAGGATTAAATTAAAAACATTATTTAATTTCAATAAATATATATTTTAAATAACATTACAGTACTTAAACTTGATTAAAATTACACTATTAAATTATGTTCATTATGTAATGGTGAAAATTTTTAGACATTTCAACACAACACGTAATAATAGTGACTATAAGTTTTGGGACTACAAATTCAATAAAGAATGTTCATAAAAGTAATAACAATCTGTAGAAGAAAACACGAACACACATAATCCATAATTGTTTCTTAAATTCACACTTTAATAATTTCTGTTTAAATATTGACGTAAATTACATTTTTTTTTTGAGGTATTAACTCAACATCCAAAATTTTTAAAACTCTAGTAATAAATTACCTTCATCAAGAGAGGTGGCCATAAGTATTGAAAATTGAAATTGATTATGGAATATAATACATATGCCCAGCTAATCTTTTGGTTGAATAACTTTTAATATTTTTGAAGTTCATGCAGACATCTTACAGTAAAATAGTTATCACAGTCATTAACAAAGTGCTTAAAATTTACTAGCAGCTACTAATAATTTGTTTGTTTAAATAATTATTTATTGATAGAGCTATATGTAAAAGGCAATTTAGTAAACGCTTAATTTTGAAAGCTATGACAAATATTTTAATGAGAGAATCTGTTGATATAATTAAAACTAAAAATAATAAGTTATCTTTAACATTCTATTTTTAACCTTCTATATCACAATGTTCTTCTTTGGTTTTTTTAAACTTAATATTGCGCTATAGCAATTAAATATAAATATCTCGATTTTATTTCAACTTTCCATATGAACTGAGAATAAGCAATTTTAACAAAATTATATATCTACACATATCGCTACATATATTTAGACGGCAATAAAACTTTGTTACGACACATCACGTTATAAATACGCACGCAGTGCCCTATATTTACTCATTGACAATGTATTGTCTATGACAATCTAGTCTATTTCTTGTGATGACTGATGACTGTCATTGTCATAATGCACAAAATCAGTTACTTTGTTTGAACTGATCTTTTGTGATTCTTGTATAAGAAATACAAGAATATTACTGACATATACAGCAGCCTTACAAAGAAACAACTTTAATAATCCAAGATCACAGCATGTCACCCGAAATTTAAATTATAACTACATTCATACAAGATAATATAAATATATATTTTCTATTAGTGATATATGAATGAGTAGAGTAATATAACTTTATAGATTTTTCGTGATATCTTACTATGTCTAAATATAGCAAGAATATAGTGTCATCTCATGACTTATGATAAGGCTATAGAATTGTACTGTTAAATTCAGACACTTATTTTTAACAATACATAACATATATCTTTGATTTCTTATTTTTTATCTAATATTGATGAGATTTTATCAATCTAACATATATACAAATGGCACAGGAGAAACAATATTTTAAATAACAAGTGACTAATATATTCGATGTTTTTAACATTTATAGAAATATTTGCAAATTACAATTTTTTATGATACCTAGCAATCATATTTATACCCTATATCCAAAAAACATTTATATTAAACTATTCAAAGAAGAAAAAGTCTTAAAAAATAAAACTTTCGTCAAATAATTTTATCAATTACCTGTCTATCTTCACCTTAGATTCGGGGAAATACGTATATTATCAACCTTCAGTGATTTATGAATTTAGACATTTAATCTAAATACGGATTGGTGTAAGCTCGATCGAGACTGCGGACGCGATGTCGCCGCTCTCTATAATCGTAAGGCATACTGAAGGGTTGATAAGAATTTAATTGTCAGCGGATCCGAGACACCCGCAGTTCCTTGTCCAGCTGTTGCAGCTGACGAAGGAAACCCTCATTAGGGTGGATGTCTCGTCGAGAGCGGACCAAGGCAAGAGCCTCTGTGAGAGACATGCCACGCTTAATCATCAGAAAAGCAAGTGCGCAAGTCGCCGAACGTGACACTCCCATTAAACAATGAACCAGTACCTTACCTGCAATAATAAACAATTACATATTAATAAGCATTAAAATTGAATGTTAAAAGCATAACGAAGTGATAAGAAAAGTAACTCACCACCTCTTGAAAGTCCTTCATCAATAAAATTAGCAGCAATATGAAAGTATTTAGATATATCTGTTGTTGGAAGATCCATAAGCTGGAAGCCTTTGTAACGGAGTCCGGGACAATCACGATAATACAAGTGATCTGTATCAACTTGTGTGTAGCGTTTGCCCTCCGCTGTATTCAAAACATATGTGATACCCATCCTTTTTAAAAAAGCTTTGTCTTTGGCAGCAACACTGAAAAAAAAAACAAATTCATTGTTTCAAATATTGATACATCATTTTGTTTAACTACCCTGTAAAAAACACAAAATATTAGTAATACTTACGCGTCACCAACATAGAGCCCAGGATAAACTTCATTGACATCTGGTGTTGAAGTGTAAGCGACATCAGTAAACACTCTTGATCGGTATGATGGAATTGAATCCAGCACCGAAGATGGGGATGCCCCATAACTCTGCACATGAGATTTATATGTTAAACAATTGTTTAAAATTTGACCCATTATAGTTAATACAATTTGTTTTATATTTTTAAGAGAATAAGTAGATGCAAAACACAACTGCACTTTATGTATGGCCAACATCAATGTATTAGTAACAGATATAAAATTGCAGGCCAAAGAATAGTGTTGCAAGTATTAAAAATGTTCCAAGACCTTATAAATAAAATAATAATTCACTATTTAGAAAGTGGCCATAGATCTGGTTAATTTATTGAATTACCACATATTATTACAAAATCAAAGGTAATATAATAAAGGCAGAAAGGCAATATTAAAAAAATCAATTTGATTTTTAAACAAACACAATACATGATGCAAAGATGATAACGAAGTCTGCAAAGATTAAATAAAGCATCACAGATACATATCACAAAAATGGATCTGTTGCAAGAAAGAATTTAATTTCATACTCTACCGATGTTAGTGTGGAAGTCAGTCTTTGACGAGACATAATCCAATAATATTCTACTGCCAAGAAGTCCATCATAATTTTCTTGTTATTAAGTATGCAGAATGTGATATAACAGCATAATATAAGAAAATGACAAATGCATTACCACATCGGCACAGAAATATCTATCAGTGCTAGGTTCAATCTCAGAATTATCACAACATAGAAAATTAGATCATACATGGGAGGTAGTAGGTATATTTTTAGTAAAAATTTAGATTTTATCGAAATAGTTTGTTAAGTGAGTAACAGAATCCACATCATAATAAATACCCTTAATGTCCTTAAGTAGCTTCCTACACGTTGTTCATTAGCAGCACTGTAGGAATGTGTTCTCGGATAGAGCGAATACTGTTGATAATATGGCAAATAAATTCATATGCAAGCATTTATGTTATACATGCACACTAAATACATAACACATTCTAAACCACTACAATTTTTCTGTATGAAAATAAATTTGCCGGTGAGCTGGTGGCTTTGAATGTGTTAAAGTAGATCTATGTAAGTTATTAGACCAGTCTATGTTTACTACAAATGGCTAGTAATTATGACTTCTAGTGTATGCATAGACAAAACACTTTAATTGTGTTCTTGACATGAATGAACATTTGTTTAATTTCGTGTTTAGATTATTACTTCTTATTTTTTTATTTATTGAAAAACATTCTAAAGAGCTTAGATAGGCCTTGGTAACGACCTTGATTCGAAAGTTCTATTAATAGCAGGGCGCCGCATACGTTTTATGAGATAAGCTTGCAAATCAATAATATAATGTTTCTACAACAGAGCTGGAACTTAAAATTTCTATGCCAGATTTAATAAAATAGTCAATTTTTCCTTACCGTATCTCTGTAACTCATGTTAGCGTATTTTTATATATTTGAAAGAGTTTTGAGAAAGCGATCCAATCGATGATCGCTTTTTGTCGCACAAAATAATCTATTCTGCAGACGAACCTATATTACTATCCACTTTCTATAAATGAAATTATATGAGATTAGTCAGATCTTTATTCGGTTTGTTCTGTCAGGGCCATTACTTGCCAAGCCGTGTTAGGTCACATCACAAATACAATTATAAATGTATGTTGCTGTTTCGTTTTCTCATATCTTATGCCAAGGCAATAAGAATCAAAATGATCTCGATTACGATTATGAGAACATGAGAAAGAGAAGAAAATGTATCCATGTCAGATGCCAATGTACTTGACATTTGAAAATCAGTAAAGTGTTGCCTGCTACCTACTGTCCGTTTTATGATGTTTCGCAGTTCACGATTCAGGAGAGTTGGTTGAGTAAAAACGGATATATCCCTTTTAGAACTTTACTAAACACTTTACAAAAATTATTGAAAATACGACCGCATTCAGAATTTAATAAATAGTTTTTTTTTATAGGCAAATAATTTTTATAGTTTATTTCGTTGTAGATAATTACTAAAAAAATTAATATTTAAGCAAAGAAAATAAAGATATGTAAATAACGATTTAATAATGTTCCATTAATTTATGTTTAAATCGATTTATAAATAACTTAGTCATAAGCGTATTTTCCGTTCTTTTTCTTTCAAACCAAATAAATTTGATTCTTTACACAAATAGAAATTTACAAATAGAGATATAGTTACTCAAAACAATGAGATTTGTGGCAAATAAGACATAGAAGATTAAATTAGTGTGTTAATAGGTTAATTTTTTCAATTGACTCAAATTTTGAAAAAGTATCCAATTACAATATTCTGTTGTTTATTTCTATGGTTTCTGTATTTAACACTCTAAGGAATTTTAATACCCAATTTCAACTTCTTTACTTTTCATTAAGATCTATCCTCATATTATTATTTAAAAATTTACCATAGATGTCTTAAATATTGAATAATATTTTCATGAGTATGTAAGATCGTTCCATTGAAACCTTCTGTAGCGTTTTTTTTTTTTTAGCTAAAACATAATAAACAAAACCGAGATGGTTATTAGATTTTCAAACCATATACTTTGAATTCAGGAATACAATCAGATAGGTTATTTGATTTTGGTATTAACTATTTCATTGTAATGCCATTTTCTAAACCAATAAAGTTATATACAGCTAAAAAGTTTAGGTAAATAAAATATCATTCTGATGTTAAGAATTTAATGATTTTTAGAATAAAGTGTTTTAACTACATGTAAGTTCTAATTATTTAAATTAATCTACAAATACGGTCTATTCATTTCATTTTTCTTAGCCTTCTTATCTCTCGCTCTTGGGAACCATCTGTGTTCTGTTGTTAATGTGAGTGAAGACAATTGTTTTCTTGCCATTTCTGGTTTCATCTCTTTGAATACTCTTCTGACTTCACTGTAATCAGTCATTCTTAAAACGCCGTCATCTTGTTTAGTTTCTTCTGGTAACGGCTTAGTATATTCGTAAGGAAAATCTCTATCCTGATGTAAAGCTACAATCGTGGAACCATCATCAGTTATTACGATCTTATTATATAACCTAACCATGACATTTTTCGGACGTAAACTTAGTGATCTTAAAACATAACTCATTTTATCCCCTGCTTGTTTATCAAGTATTAAAATATTACAGGTATAAATAAAAACAGTAAGTAAGTAAGGTTATTAAATGGTGTTTGTTTTTAGCAGAGAGGTAGCAAATTGACAATTGACATTGACATATTGACACTTCTACGTTGTCCTTTTGTCCTTGTAAGTGCATAGGTGCGTAGATTAATAAAAATGTTTATTTTAAATTAATTGAACACTCAAGATGTTAAACTATTTATTTTTATTATAAATCCAATAAAGGAACAAGGTACCGCCTAATTTAAGATTAACATTTATTTTTCAACATGCAATATTTTTATTTTTATCAATGGTCTATTATGTGATTTGTTAATTTGTTATGTCAAAAGTGAAAATGTCTTTGAGTTTGACATTTTATGCCAAATGTAAAAACAAACAATCTTAATTTTACTAATTTCAGAAGCAAAAATGGATTTACCAGCTGCATTGTCCAATGCATCCGATAGTAATGAATACCCCGGTACCACTCCTGCATTTGATATAGCTCAAGATAATAACAAAAGACGGAGGTCTGTTAACAATTCCGTTTACTTATTTATGCGTACTAACTTACTAAGCGATTCTAATCTTTTGTTTGTTGTGTCATTTCAGCTCGTCAAGATCAATTAAACGAAGGCGTTTTGATGATGAGTTAGTGGAATATAGTTTGGGACTTCCAGGCGCTTCTTTAGGCAAAGGTGACAAAAGAATACGTACACAATCAAACACAAGTCAGTTAGCGGAAGTTTCTGGTGTGTCAAATACAGCCGTAACTCCTGTGCAACCAGCTCAGGATCGAAGAAGGGCGTCGAGTAAAGTTACAGGAGGGGCTGGTCTCATTGGTCGTAAATCTCGACGTAAAGGGCAATTGAGTCAATTGTCTACTAAAGATTTAGGACGATGGAAACCCACAGATGATTTGGCACTGATATTAGGAGTTCAACAGGTACTTACTTATTATATTCCTTCTTACTAATATTATGAATGTGAAAGTTTGGATAGATGGATGGTTGTTTGTTAGAAGGTATATCTATAATGGCCTAACGGATCTCAATGAAATTTGGTATAGATGTAGAACATAGTCTATAAGAACACACAGGCTACTTACTAAGATGCTTATTTCATCTTTTATTAACTATTTGAACATTTAATGTCACTTTTAACTAATGGATGTACCCTAACATTGTTGGTTTTAATTTGCATAGTTCGATATATATTCTATCAATTTCAGACAAATGATTTGCGCATCGTTCATCGTGGTGTAAAGTTTTCATGTCGCTTCACTGTGGGAGAACTGCAATCACGGTGGTATGCACTGCTGTACAATGCGGAGATATCAAGAGTTGCCATCGCTGCAATGCGTAACTTGCATCCAGATCTTGTTGCCTCTGTGCAGCAACAAGCATTGTATTCCACAGCAGAGGAAGATTTGCTCGGAACAATAGCTAGTGTAAATATTTAGAATGTTACTTATTAAAAACTAATAGTCAAAAGGGAATTATTATTCATGATAATCTTTTATTTTTTGATGACATAAGAAAGAAGGGTCAACAAATTAAAATAAGCTTCCTTTATTGGATACTTTTTTGAAATGAAAGTTATTTTATAACCTATAGCTTGAGTCTTCATATCTAGATGTTAAATAGAATAAAATTGACATAAACATCTATTAACAACACAATTTACTTCAAATTTGTCTCATATCTCTACCTTGTTCCAGAACTCGCATCCTACATCTGAGAAGTTCCAAGAACTATTAGAACAGAACCCACATGTGTTCTACCCGTCTCGCACTGCAAAGTCTTTGATGGCCCACTGGCAGTTACTGAAGCAATACCAGTTGCTGCCTGACCAAACTGTGCAGCCATTGCCTAAAAGTAAACTTATACTTAAATTATGGTAAACAGATGAACATGATATAAGTGAGAACTGGATAAGCTAGGAACCTCTATAAGCGAGGGTCATTGTTGGGTTATAGACAAACCTCTATAAGTGAGAAAAATATTGTGGTCCTTCGACTCTTGCTTATTCGAGTTTGACTGTGTTTTAATTTTTTTCTTTATAAAAATGACAAAGAAAGGCACTTGAGAAATAAAAGAATGCCTAATTATTAACCTTGTAGGTTGATTAAATGATTATATATCTATATTCAATGGTTAGAAGGGGCTACATTAACATGCTTTCGTTATAAAGTCCAGTGTCATAATAAATAGTAAGGGGACATAAACGTCGACATTTTAGCAAGGGTATTGTTGAGTCAATACACTGTCAAACTTTCGGATTTTCTTCCTAACACTACTCAAGCCTTAAGTTTATTTCTACTTTAATTATCAATATGAGTATTTTAACTTAAATAATAAGAGTTTTATGTAAATTTCTTATTTATTGCAGATCAAAACGACAATGTATTAACATTTTCTGATGCAGAAGAAACAATCAATGATTCAGAGTTACAAGATTTTAAGGAAGACGGTATGGATGTTGAAATGCAACTTGCAGATAGGTAAATACATTAAAACAATTGGAATTAAAAACTTAATAAAAAAATTAAAAGTAAATACACTACCTACAACATCTGTTGCATGAATTGTTCAACTTGATGCCACGACCACACTGAAGACAGGCGTTAAATAGAAGTAATTCCATGTATAGTCTGATGAGTGTACCAATTGAAGGCCTAATTTAAGTTCTTTTTCACTACCTACCCTTTTTACAAGGAAAGGAAAGGATTTAACACAAGAGAGGATGCATAGATAGGAGAACTCTCTTCTTTCTGTGTATCTCCCCTGTCAAATAAATATAGGCAACGCATATGTACAGATATCTATGGGCAGTGTTCGCTATTTAGGCGAATTCAGATAGCTACTTCCATGTTTGCAACCTTATAATATAAAAAAAATTGTACTAATAGGGTAGAGAAGAAAGACATAAGGTTACTGGAGAACTCGTTGTCGAGATGGCAAGTGCTGGTGCAGTCAGTGGCGGGAGGCAACGTGGAGCTGGACAAGAACACGCTGGCGGTGCTGCGCGGTCGTCTCGTGCGATATCTCATGCGCTCCAGAGAGGTCAGTCACATTTTCTTTTTACTACATCTCATTCAACTTTTGCCAACTATCATATAAAGTTATATTTAACTTTGAATTTTTTTTAATAATCATTATGTTATCTGTTGGACTTTCATAATCGTTTAAACAAATATAGTAGCTTAGTAGTTAATTTTTTTTAATTTTATTATTTTGTTATTTTAACTTGAGACATTGGATACTTATTGAGGTCCTATTTTTGTAAATTACTTTTATAGTTTAAAATCCTTCGCTTATTACCTGCGAAAAGAACTGAAAGTCCCGTATTACCCTAAACATTTTTTTTTCTAAGCAACAAATACGTCAATATAAAAAATATACAGTTACGACTTAGGGGCCTTCAAGAAAAGAGCGTACACCTTCCTTAAAGGCCGGCAACGCATCTGCGGTTCCTCTGGCGTTGCGGATGTCCATGGGCGTCGGATCATATTAGGATTCGTTGC